CTGGCACAAAAAAGGCATCAAAATAATAGCAGATTTTTGCCCAGCTTCAAAATAAATTTGGCCTCTCAACCAAGGATTTCTATGCCTACCTACAAATGTGTCACTTTGTAACATCTGGCTGCCCCAGGACCCTTGCACGCTTCCAGGGCCAACAGAAAAGTTACTTATCAAGTTTACCTTAAATACAGGTTTTATTTCGAGATTATACAATGTTTTATAAGGAAGTGTTCCTTGTTCCTTGTGTTAGAAATATCCTCAGACATTGGGAGGAGGATCTGGGGAAAGTCTGAAGAGAGAAAACTGCTTTAAATGATCCCATTCTTTGTTTTTGATTAATACATTTGAAGAAATTCAATAGAAGATAATGCATAGAAAACACAGGACTCCATATTTTCTTGGTAAAATAAAACCCAACCGATTACCATTGTGTCCCAAATGTAGGACGAGCATTGGAACTTATCTTCATCTTTTTTGGGAATGCCCTTTTATATCCAGGTTCTGGAAATTTGCACTGATTATAAGGACTAGAGTTTGTAAAGATCCAGGACAGTGCCCATTGGGGCCTTCCCCAGATAAAATAATAAAAGGTAAACCACTCCAGCTGACCAATAAACTACTATTTTTATGTCGGAAATGTATTTTGTGAAACTGGATATGTGATAAGCCTCCTACAGTAACTCAATGGCACAGAGAAATATTTGGAGTTATTCCAGTGGAGAGTCTTAAGTGCAAAATTAAGTGGCAAAACTAGGAACTTTAAGGCTCTACGTTCTGACCTCCTTAAAGGAGAGCTTGTATTCAACTGGAAATAATCTCCAATACCTTTATATTTATCTACTTTTATATTTTATTTATTTTTATTTAATTATTTTGTTTCATTATTTTCCTTCTTCATCCCAGGTTTTTTTATTTTCTTCATTTGAGCTCCGCACACGTCAGTTTGTATTATAACTACACCTGCTCTGTTTGTTCTGTTTTTGAAAATAAATAAAAACAAGTTAAGCAAAATTTTATTCAAATCCTGATGATACATATTTACTTTCATACAGTTTTCTCCCAAATGTCTCTATCTGCTTTGTGTCAATGAAAACAAGACCTAAGTTTAGCATAAAATAAGTTAGGGGACAATGATGAAAATCCAAGGTTAGAAAACAAAGTAAACTATGTCTTTGAAGGACACCAGCAGATAAAATGTGGTGATCAGCCACTCAGGATTAGGAGCTCTGCTGTTCCAGCATAATTACCCTGTTGATCGACTGTTTTCAGGGTTTCAGTTAGAAGCTTTAAGTACCTGAACCACTCAATGCAGAACCTGGGCCTGAGACAGCACTAACAAAACTGAGTGGTTCAATAACTGTACAGAAAGTCTCCTCAATATTGCTCAAACTAAGCTATTTAGCACAGAAATGTGTTAACCGCTGTCATTATGACTCATTATATTTTCAATAGGATTCTCCAGCCATTCTGATAATACAGCAGTAAAGAGTACTCTGTAATCTAATAATGTAATCTTTAATAAATTAAGTTATCTTTGGATGTCTATATTTGTAAAAATGGGTCTGAGGCCCTTTTAGAGGCAAAATGTACTTCAATGTCATTTCTTTGGTGAGTTTACAGGATACCACAATTAGAACCATCACACACTTTATCAGCTGTGGTTTGAGTGAAGTCGTGATGATGTGACTTTGCACACACAGTACCTGAGTCTGAGGACAGCAGGGGCCTCTGAGGTTTGGGGCCGACGGCTCGACCGAAGAAATCCACCTCCGGCTGCAAAACAGAGGGTGAGGAAGGAGTTAAAGCTGGGTGAGAAGAAAGTAAAACAGGTCAGTGTCAGGGAACACACATCTTTTTTATTAGCCTAATTTCACCATGAGGGACCGTAATCCCAGGGGCTCCTTGTTACCCTCATTTCTGCCCTCTAGAGCAGGGGTGTAAAACT